CTCAGGCATTTAACAAGCTAGAGAAGTGACTAAATAGACGTTCACGTAGCTAGGAACATACACGGCCATCTATAATTCCAGGCAACTTCCACATTACTAGCAAACCTAAAGCAAGTGTCCGATTCATTTAATTACTTTATTTTGTATCATTTGTAGGTGTCCTCCCTCCTGGTGAGAGAACCCAAGACAGCTCACAAGGTTAAAAGAACCACGCAGATTTGTTTAAATTGTATAATTTAGACAGACTATAGAATTCAACTTTCTTGTGGCACAGAATCTGGCCTGCCTAGGAATACAGTTCTACTTTAGTAGAACAGGGTAAGCCCAACATAATTTGTATACAGTAACTGCTAAATTCAAAAGAATAACAAGGTACATCAGTCAACTCTAACAACATCACCTAATTTAGATATGTGCCGTCACCCAAGGTAGAGGGGAGATCTTTTTAACAGCAGCTATAACTGTTCTCTGTGAGCAGCTTTTTTTGGCAGCTTTAATTGGGCTGAGAACAGAAGGTTTTAAGACCTTTTGGCTGCTTCTAGGCAAGATTAGTAAATACCTGGTTTTCTGTACTGATTTAAGAATAAACATTTACTCTTAACATTTTCCCCCCAAGGTGACCTCTATATGTGCAAGAAACCACTAATGACAACGTACTGTATATGCACCATGATAGTGATAGTGTGTGCCCACTACATTTAATTATTCTTTAGCTAAACAAACAATAATAGTTTAATGGATGTATGAAATATTTTTAGTACCACATCAAATGATTTGGAAGATGAAGAAAAATAGAGACACAAGCAAACATTTTAAAACCCTTCATAGCAAAAGTACATTCGTAACAAAACTGATGTTTCCAGATTTCATAATATGTACAGTGTAAACTATTTTTCCTTGCTCCAACACTCTTCCACTCCCTTTAATATCACCAACAATGAATAACAAGAATGAACAATGAACTAATTATATTATTTAACTGCAGTTTTATTATTTCCCTTCTTCCACAAAGCTTTCTCAAAACCTGCCTGGGCAGCTTTTCCAAACTACCTCTCAGCACTGTTCTTGGCCTCCATAATTGTGGCAGGAAAAACCAAGCATTGTTTTCTATTCTCTCTGAACAATCAGTGGATTAAACTCATTCCCTGCCTCCTACAGAGTTGCAACACAAATGAGTTTAAGTTAGAACTCTAGGGTAAAAGTTTGTTTTTTCACTTAAAGTGGCTTTTCATCCTGTGGGAATTTATTGGCGGACTGTTTCGCTGGCAAGAGGAACAAATGAAAGGAGTGTTCTTGCATTTCAGCTTCCAGCCACTCGATGGAGGTTAAGATCCAATCATCTGAGGAGACTGTCACTATTTATGAAGCAAAAATACACATTCAGAATTAGCCAATACAACTGAATGGACTGAGATCCTTATTGTTCAAGTGATTGTTCGAGATGCTTGTCTGAAGAATCTATTTTAACCTCACAATGTTTTAGACAAGAGATGAATCCTAGTACAAACATGGCTAGGAAATGATGGCTTTCGCTATTATACCTGCAGTGTACAAACTGAGCAAATAAAATATGCAGTAGAATCCCAATGACATACCTTACAAATACATATCTTACTCAAGAGTCAGTAATTGATTCCAAAGGACAACAAACATTTTCAAATGGGCAAATAATGTGCAGCTGCCATGAATGGAGAAGAGTTGTTTAAGTAGACATGTTGCGTATTGTTTTCGTAGAGGCAATATTCATTCAATACATAAAGGTTTTAAAGAAAAAAACTGTACAAATTATAAAAAGCAAAATACAGATTATCTGCTATGTCCTTCCTCCAAATATGTACAAAAACTAGAGTTAAAAGGTCAATACACTTATACTGACTGTATCTATGATTCAGCTAACAAAATAAAATCAGGGCCCAACTAAAAGCCACAGACAGCACACATGCAGTAGCCCTACACCAAATAAAGCTAAACACAGTATTATTAGTGCTAGAGGTGGGCAAACTTCACCCAGAAAATGAGAGCTTTTCATTCACCTATTGTTCCTCTCTTCCTCCCAGCGTAGTCTTTGGCTTCTTTTCTATGGGAAATGCACCATCTTCTCCTAATCCTCCCTCCTACAAAGCAAGCCCACAGGCTTAATGTAGACGTTCACACTATCTAGGATCTCGCTCTGCAACCAATTGTTTCTTGAGTATCTTTGCAACATAAACATGAGCAATGAAGATCATGGTGGATACCTGAGTTGCAGCCGTAACTGTGATCAGCTTCTTGCACTGGAAGACAGGTGGAGTCTTCCCAGTGCAAGAGATGGACTGCCAAAGGAGTTGTGTGGCTTATCAAAATATTTGCCCAGGTAGCATATGGTAGCCTCTAGAGAAGGGATATTGTATTAATCTCCTAGGGGAGACAAATACAAATATCTCCAGCATTGGTAGCCAGGCCCATTTGATTCCCCCCTCCCCCCGAACCAGGCCATCCACTTATCACTTGTAACAGAAGTAGCCTGGCTGGGGTTTCCCTGCCTCCCTCTGCCACTGACCACTCTGCCAAGGAGGCAAGATAAAAAGTCTGCCCACTCAGCTGCTGAGTAGTCAGCAGTGGAGAGAGATGGGGAAGCCCATGCAAACAAGGATGGCCCCACACGGTCCACCAAAGGCAGTAAGTGGACAGCCTGGTTCGTGGGGGGGGGGAGAGATCAAATGGGCCTGGCCACTTGTGGTGGAGATACTCTAGAGATTTCCCATCTCTAGTAGCCTCTTAGCCTTGCTGTTTGAAAAGTTCACAGTCAGGTACTGAACCTGGAATAAAAAGCATGTCTTCTGTCACATGGGCGCAGCATCTCTGCCAGTCTTTGACAAAGGTTTCAGAAACTGCAAAAACATGACCACTCCAGATTCGAGTCCAGACACATTTGCAGGAAGCCGGGTTTGGTAAAGAGTGCTGTGCTTAACAAAAGAATTCTGTATCATCAAAGGCA